TAGTACTCATAAGAGCTGGCTCTGAATTACTCCTACAGAGGGACCCTAATGCCAGGAAACAAGTGATTATGCACACTAGAGCCTTCCTTTCCCAGAAATAGCTAAAAAGTGAGGCTTTCTTTAAATCAACAAAACAAAAACTGAAAAAACGAAAATGCATACCTACAGACTTTTATAGTTTTACTTCATTTTGCTGATGAAATGTCACAGTAGCCAACAGGAATAATACATTTTCTTTTAAATTAACAAATGTCATGGTGGTTAAGGGTGGGTGAGGATGCAGAGAAAGAACTTGGCAAGAAAATGTTCAGAGCCTCTTGCAAAAGCAACTGTAACCCAAACATACTTCCAGCAGACAAGAACCACCTGCTGTAACAGAGAGGTTTTAAAAGACGAACCAAGGAGACGGCCTTAAAGTCGCTTTTTACCAATTTTAATATAAATAAAGGAACCTACAGACATATCAGATATATACCATGCTTCTAATTCCAGCACTCTCAAAGCAGAGTAAGCAGATCTCTGTGAGTTTGAGGCCAGCCTGGGCTACCTGGTGAGTTCCAGCCTAGCCAAGGTTATAAGGTGATTCCCTGGAGATGGGGGTGGGGAAGTGATGGTGAAGGCCTGGGGGTATTTGAATATTTAGGGGGATGGAGAGGTGGCCAGGAAGTTAAGAATGCTTGCTGCTCCTACTCTTGCAGAGGACCTGAGTTCTCCTATCTAGCACCCACAGTGGCCACCCCACAATAGCTTGTAACTCCAGTCTCAGGGGATCTGATGCCTCTTCTGGACTTTGCATCATGGACTTTCTGCATGTACATGATGCACAAACATACATCCTGGCCCACACACATACACATAAAAAAAAATACATACCAGCATTAGATTTCTCGTCTATTATTAAGCATAGAAAGACATATAATTATGTATATATTCCTGTAGTTAGTCAAGAAACACTCCTGGAAGTTGATGGCTTACTACTGATAACAGTAATGAGTACCCACACACATACTTGGAGTCTTAGTTAATCCTTATAGCAGTGCTCTGTTTTACAGTGCTTAAGGGCTGAAAAAAAAAAAACACAACGAATTCACAGAGAGTTATGTAACATGTCCTGGTTCATACTATAAGAGATTGAGACAGACTTTCTTCATGTCTACCCAACTCCTCAGCCCACACTCTCAGAAACTCTGTGATCCTATGCACTACATACATGTATGCCATGGTCAATGTAGAACTTCACATTCAAGTTAAGACAAATAAATTATAGGGAATCTTCCTGGGTTTGAAAATTCATTGAAGACCTCATTGACACATTTGTGGACAGACAGACAAGAAGACAGAAATTTAACTCCACAGAAAATGCTTAGGGGAAGACAAACACTTTTGCTTGGTCAACACAGTCAGAAATATGATTGTTTCTTTCCTCTCTTCTTTCTTTTCTTCAGTTTAAAACTAAATATCTTCCCACCCTTTAACACCAGTGCCCTGCTAGCCCTACTAGGAGCCATGTTCCCACTGGGGAATGGAATGAATAACTGTGAAATGGGGTCCATGGGTGGCTACTGGGCCTTTAAGACTAACTGGAGGCCACTGCCAGCACCAAGGGCTAATGTCTGAATTAAGCTGAGGTACAGAACATGAATATGAAGTGTGGGTGTAGAAGTCCTGTGTACTTTACATGCTTCCTGGTGGTACATGGGTGTGTGCACTCAACACTCAGACACCTACATACACTATTTTAAAAATAAGTTGTGTGTGTGTGTGTGTGTGTGTGTGTGTGTGTGTGCATGTGTACATATGTGTATCACAGCACAATTGGGAGGTCATATGACAACTTAGTAAAAGTCAGTTCTCTCCGTCTACCTCCAGGAGGGCTCTGGAAATCAAATCCAGGTTGTACAACTTGTGTGGCAAACACCTTTCCATGATTTCTAACACCTCCTGGCCAGCATTCCAGAAACTCTCAGAGAGCCTGGCCTTGAGATAATTCAAGGTGAAGGTCAGTACATGTAAGTCATTGTACCTGTGGCCCATTGTATATGGGCCAGACTGTGGTCCAAGGGGAATGCTATTCCTTCCTACTACTGGGGTAGTCCTGAGTGTGCTCTTACTGTCTGTTAGTGCATTAGACATTAAATGCTGGATAACCAGGGCAAGACCCCTGAACTACAATGGGAATTTCAGGTTTCTAACTGGGGGTTTTGTTTTGAGACAGGGTCTCATGTATCCCAGACTGGCCTAGAATTCAGTGTAGCCAAGTGAGTATGACCTTGGGCAGATCTTCCTTCGGTCCCCAGCTCCTGGAGGCTGACGTCACAGGCATGTCTTCATGCCCAGGCTTGAGCTTCTCTGAGCAAGGAAGGTAGAACACAGGAAAGGCCCAACAGAACAGCAGGTTGGCCTGGATACTACTCAGGTGCCAAAGCTGGCTCCCAAGGGCACTGTAGACACCTGCCGAGGCTTCCGAGGCTTTCTCTGCCAGATCTCAGATCTGAGGATGACTCTGGTTTGGAGGGAGTCTCAATGGGAACAGCTTGGCTATTTTAGTCTTACTCCCTAGCAAGAAGTTTTGGATTTCCACAATAATTCAACAAACTCTTGGAGATGCCTGGTAAACAAATAAACAAGGCGGGGGTTGGGGGGAGATGGCTCAGTGTTTAAGAGCATTTGTTCTTGCAGAGAACCTAGGTTCAGTTCCCAGTAACTACATGGCAGCTCACAACCATCTATCTGAAAGTCCAGTTCCTTGGGATCCAACCCTTCTTGACTTACTGGAGCACCAGGCACACGCATGATGCACAGACATAAATGCCAGCAAAACACTCATATAAATAAACAAAACTCACCTGGGAGGCAGAAGCAGGCGTTTCTCTGAGTTCGAGGCCAGCCTAGTCTACATAGTGAGTTCCAGGACAGCCAGGGCTACACAGAGAAACTCTGGGGGGTGGGGGAGACTGGTACACATCTTTAATCCTAGCATTTGGGAGGCAGAGGCAAGCTGATCTCCATGAGTTCTAAGCTAGCCTGGTTTACATAAGCCAGGGCTACACAGTGAGACCCAGCCTCAAAAAAAAAGAAAAAAGAAAGAGAGAGAGAGAGAGAGAGAGAGAGAGAGAGAGAGAGAGAGAGAGAGAAAGAGAGAAAGAAAGAAAGAAAAAGAAAAAAAATTAGAAATAAGGTGGAGCCCAGTTAAATGTTGATTACTGACTTGTGAGATCATGCCTTAGTGATTGTTTCTAAATGGAAGAAACATTGTTTCCTTAGAACTTACTTTAAGCATTCTTCTCAGTAACAATGTGAAACATAGAGTTCCCGGCTTTGTCTGCGTGTGTACACATACATGAGAACATTTTACAAAGAGGAAGTGTTTCCATTTCATAAAATTAAGGGAAGGTGTCACAGTGTTTTCTTTATTTTTTTGAGACAGTATCACTACAAGGCCCAACGGGGTTCAAACTTCCAGACATCTTATTGCCTCAGACTTCCAAGGGCTCTGATTGCAGGTCTGATCTTTTTCTTTTCAAAATTTATGTAGTGTGTGTGTGTGTGTGTGTGTGTGTGTGTGTGTGTGTGTGTGTGTGTGTTTGCGCGCATGGGCGCGGGTGCGCATTAGAGGGTGGGGTTGCGTATTTATGGGTGCATGCCACAGCACACGTGTGTAGGTAGGGTCAGAGGACTACTTTTGTGTAATTTCTTTTACCTTTACACAGGTTGTGGGCATCAACTAACTTCTATAGGCTTACAAGGCAAGGTCTTTACCCTATGCGTTCCCACTACTCTGCCTTTTTCTTTTGACTGACTATGCACCAAGGCTGACCCAGGACTCCCTGACTCAAATGATCCTACTATCATCGGCCTCAGGAATAGCTGTGACTACCCATAGGGGTCTTTTCTAAAGAAATCACACACGCGTGGTTTACGGGCAATATAATGATGTTAAGGCTGACTTAAAGTTGACTTCAGATTCTTGTGATCACAACTTTTCCCAAAGAGGAGGCTCCCAAATTACCCAAAGTGCCCTGAAAAATTAAAAGATGGGAGGGTGTATGCGTGCGCGCATTCTCTAAACTACTATCTCATGATTCCTATGTGTTTGTCTTGAGCTCACCTTCGAAAGTTAATGATTACCAAAAGGAGTATTTAAAAATGTAAGTAAAACTCCTCAGCAAGAAAAGAGAAAACTGCCAAGAGAAGAGCCGGTGTGCACAAGCCTTGAACTTCAGGGCAAACTGAGCGCTGCTTGGTCGGAATTCAGTTTCCCACAGGCGGTTTCTTCATTACTTAACCGTATGAGTGGAAATTTGTGCAGAATAGAGGAACTTACGGGGGAGACTTGAACATCAGAAACTGCAGACTGATTTCTTTCGAGTGACAAGTGGGGGCTCCAGGACACAACTCCTCTGGGCTAGGCGAGACTGCCCCCCTGCACGGCCCACGTGGCCAAAGTAAACAGAAGGTGGGCCTGGGCGGGGAGAACCCCGGCGCCGCCGGTTTGCAGCCCCGTGGAGTCTCGAAAGCACAGGCCCCTCGAGCATTTTTGGGCACGGTCTTGGAGAAATGGGGAGCGGCTTGGCTGGCCGACAGGGAAGGGAGGGTGGCAGGGCGTGGGGAGGGAGCGGGGAGCGGTCTGGTGCGGTGCTGGGAGCGGGAGCGCGGGGCCGGGGGCCTCCACGGAGCGCGCGGGAGGGAGCGGAGTTTCCAAGTGCGCCCGGGGCCCCGCGGGG